GTTATTCAACTCTGTGTCGTAAAAACACAGATAACGCCATTTTTTCAAATAACCAAGGAATGGACACAAAAATTGACCATAAACTACACCACAAAGGAAAAGTCAGTCAAACCCAAAAGATAGAAACATTACAGACAATATTCTTTGATCACAATGCAATAAAACAAAAAAATGTTATCAAAATCTCCATTAGGAATATCCGTGCAAAAATTTCTACATAAAATATTAGCACATAGGATCTACCAGCACATTAAAAATAATTTCCATGACCAAGTGGGGTTTATTACAGGAGTGCAAGGATAATTCATTACTAAGGAGTTTATTATATTCCATCAAATTAATAGATCTAAGGAGAAAAACTATATGATCGTTTCTAAAGATACTACAGAAAAGCATGTAGGCAAAAGCCAGTAGTCATACTTGATCTCCAAAAAAAAGCCCTTAATAAAATAAGGATAAATTAATCAATCCTTAGCATGATGAAATACATCATTCCCAGCCGAAAGTCCATAACATGCCTTCTGGGGAGACGCTGGAGACATCGCCACTAAAATCCAGTGAGACAAGGGTGCCCGCTGCCATTACTGCTGGTTACCATTATGCTACACCCAATAGACAGTTAAATTAGAAAAGTGTAAAAGTTGGAAAATAGGAAGTTAATCTTTAATTTTAGATGATATTGTTATTTAATACAGGAGAATTGAAAAAGCCTATAAACAAGAGAATTCAGTAAGCTAGAATGGTACAAAATGAATATACTGTAATTAACTGATTATACTCAGTAAGAAGACCTAATGAGAGAAAAGACCCCATTTATGATAGTAAGAAAAAGATAAAATACCTAAGAATCAGTGTAACAATACATTTGTGCCGGTGGGAATGTAAATTACTTCAACCATTGTGGAAAGCAGTATGGAGGTTCCTCAAAAAACTCAAAATAGAAATACCATTTGACTCAGGAATTCCACTCCTAGGAATTTGCCCTAAGAATGCAGCAGCCCAGTTTGAAAAAGACACATGCACTCCTATGTTTATCACAGCATTATTTACAATAGCCAAGAAATGGAAGCAACCTAACTGTCCATCAGTAGATGAATGGATAAAGAAGATGTGGTACATATACACAATGGAATATTATTCAGCCATAAGAAGAAAACAAATCCTACCACTTGCAACAACATGGATGGAGCTACAGGGTGTTATGCTCAGTGAAATAAGCCAGGTGGAGAAAGACAAGTACCAAATGATTTCACTCATCTGTGGAGTATAAGAACAAAGGAAAAACTGAAGGAACAAAACGGCAGTAGAATCACAGAACCCAAGAATGGACCGACAGTTACCAAAGGGAAAGGGACAGGGGAGGATGGGTGGGAAGGGAGAGATAAGGGGGTGGAGAAGAAAGGGGGCATTAAGATTAGCATGTATAATGTGGGGTGAGGCACGGGGAGGGCTGTACAACAGAGAAGACAAGTAGTGATTCTACAGCATCTTAGTACACTGATGGACAGTGACTGTAATGGGGTTTGTGGGGGGGACTTGCTGAAGGGGGGAGTCTAGTAAACATAATGTTCCTCATGTAATTATAGATTAATGATAACAAAATAAAAATAAAAATAAAAAAATAAAAAATAAATAAAGCAGGATCCATACCTCAATACCTTACACACTAAAACGGGATAAAACACAAATGGGCTAAATATTTAAATGTCAAAAATAAAATCAGAAGAGTATGTGATATAGGAAAGGGCTTTCTACATACTTTTTCCTACTACCTAAAAATTTAGATTTTTTGCACGCCACAAGAAACCAGTCAGGTCACAGGACAATGACAACATGAGTACAGAGAGGCCACAATAGAAGAAATAGAATTGGCTCGTAAACATGAAAAAGTTGCTCAACCTCACTCAGAGTCCGAGAAATGCAAATCAAAACTATCCTGAGACATCATTTTTCACCAATCAGACTGGCAAACACCCAGAAGTTTGATTATATAAACCACATTGGCAAGGCTGCGGGGAAACAAGGACCAGTCAGCATTGTCAGTGGGACTGTCAGTTGGTTCAGGTCTCTGATGGGCAATCTGCCTCTATCACAGTTAGAAAAGCAATCTGATAATCCCGCTTCTGGGAATTACTACCATAGATATACTTGTACAAGTATAAAATGTCATATTTGGAAGTTTGTAACATTGCTTAATAGCAAGATACTGGAAACAGCTTAGATGTCTATCAGTGGGGGCCTGATTAAATGCTTAAATGCGTTGTGCTGCATTTACCAAGGATGATGCCATGCAACATTAAACGCGAGCGTGTTTTCCATGCACCAATATGCATGCATATTGTATCGTGTCTCTTGTCTTCTCAAGACCCTCCAATGGCTGCCCATTGCTCTAAGAGTAAAAGCCAAAATCTTCACACTGGTGTACAAGATCCTACACGATGTGGGCCCCTTGTTGCCCTCTGCCTCTGGCCACCTGTGACATTCCGCCTCCCTTCCCCTGCTCCACCCACACTCAGCCTCTTAGCTGTTCCTTAGACGTGCGCGTCATTGCCCTCAAGGCCTCTGCCCTAGCTGATCCCTGCCTGGACCACCGTCCTCCCCAAGTAACCCCAAAGCTCACTCCCTCTTCTCCATCAGGCCTTTGCTTGTGTGTCACTTTCTCAACAAGGCCATCTCTGACCACTCCATTTAAAATTAAAATCCCGCACATGACATTCTCAATTCCCGTTATCTTGCTCCATAGTTCAATTGCTCTCATTATATTCTAATACTATACATTATTTACATATTTATTATGTTCATTGCTTTATGTGACCTCCCACAAGATATAAATCCTACAGGGCAGGAACTTTTGCCAGTTTTGTCCACTTCTCTCTCCTCAGCATATACAACAGTGCATGGCATATGGTAGGTGCTTAATAAGTATTTGTCTCCAAATAAATTAACAAATGAGCATATGCTAGAGCATATTTAAGTGAAGGAACAAGGTAAAGAACAATAATTTTCTGTATACAGTATTTCTAAGAAATAAAGTAAAAAGGGTAAGAATTTATATATGTAGGTATGTACATCAAATCTGCAAGTCTACAGAAAAAACATATCAGTGGTCACCACACACACACATGCGTGCACACAGAAGCTGATGCCACAGCCCCTGGACAGAGGGATCCTAACTCAGTAGTATGAGCAGGTCCCAGAGAACTTGCATTTTCATCAAGCTCCTTCCCTGCCTTCTGAGACACTGAGGTGTGTTCTACAGACCACACACACTGAGACACTGTCCCCACTCTCTGTCCTGACCCAGGGGACCCTACAGCACATTCGGCACTGGGGTAGTTCTCATTCGGAGCACAGTCAAATGGGCAGACGAGAGAGACAAATGGCAGAGATTTCACGGCCATTTGGCCTACACAGCCACAACCCGGAAGGGAGTCTCCTCCTGCAGACAATGCAGGACAGGGAAGCTTCACCTGCGCTTTCAGTCTCCTCTGCTCAGGAACACAGGACTCTCGCCAGGGTAGTCATCTTTGACTAAGACATTTATACATGTTGGATGTTTCAACCAAATTTCAGACTTCAAAAATGTTTGCTGTTTTAGCAAACACCATTCAAGGTGCTGCTCAGATTTCTGTGCTCATGATGACTACTTCCTAACCTCCCCGCCCGTTTTCCTTCTGCTCGTCTGGGCATTTTAATCAATAGCACAGAGGAAAATCCTAATTCACAGGGGAAAATCTTTCCTCAAAATCTTTGCTCTAATACCCCTTCCGGGAGACAAGAAAGGTGGTGAGGACCTGAAATATGTCTCGGAGAGGCCCACCCAACACTGCCACCTGCTCCGTGGCGGTGCCTTCCAGGTGAACAGAAGCACTTGACCCTTACTCAGAGATGCCAGGGAAGTGAAGTGAGTTAGAAAGTAGGACCTAGTGACAGACATACAGCAAGGGACTGAAGCTGCCAAACTCAGAAAATTTCCAGTTTGAAAAGCAAACTCATCCTCACTAAACACTGATTCCCAAAGGAAAGGGGAAATTCAGTAAGTGAGAGAAAAACTCAGTGTTTCATGACTGGTCACTTCCTTGGGATAATAAAAATGAGCTAAGATATACCCTAAACTCTCAACATTTTATTTTCATTTAAAAAAATGTTTTTTGCACTTCTTTTTTGGTCGTTCAAGATGGTCCTATTGTGCCGTTTCCTAATTGACTTCAAGAATTTGTCATGCTTTTGACATTTTATCTGCTGCATTAAAATGAACAGTTTCGTGGATCTGTCATGAGTTTCTTCCTTAAACTTCTAAACCCAGTTCCGGGTTTCCGTGTCCAGACTGGCCAGTGACAACAAGGTCTGCGACTCGAAGATGGGAGACAATGGAAGTGGGGAAATTATCTTTAAAAACGCTTTCAAAATCAGGCCGCGTCTGCCAGTGGGTTACAGCCGGCGAGCGGGTAGGTCTCCGTGGAATGGGTTTGTTTCCTGCTGTTTCTCCGTAACACCCGCGTGGGGCCCGAGACGCCGCGACGTGACAGTGCCGAGAGAGCCCGCGGCCCAGCCCCGTGTGCTCGTCCCGCCGTTCCCCGGATCCGGGGGGAAAGACTTGATCAACGGCAAACGTGCCCAACATGAAAAAGCACAAAACCAGACTTATTGCTGGCGCTCCTTCTCCTCGGGGCGTCAGGTGGGACGGGGCAGTCGGTTTACAGCCCGGCGGGAGGGCAGCCCCGGAGAGGCGGGCCGATCGGGGGCTGCGCGGCGGGAGGGGATGGGGAGGCGCCCTCCGCGGGACGGGACGCGCCCCCTTTCGGCCGACACAGTCGCCCCGCGAGCCGCCGCCCGCACCCCCGCGCGGTGCGGGTGGAGGCGGGGGCCGGCCTCCCGCCGGAGAGGCGCTCGGCCCGGGGGCGCGGCCTCAGCGCCCCGCCCCGGACACGCCCCCGCACGCCTCGGACACGCCCCGCACGCGCGCCCGGGACTCGCGCCGCGGGGCCGAGGCGTCCCCGTCGCGCCTGCAGGGCCGTCCTTGCGGCCGCCTTCGCAGAGCGCGCGGAGCGCAGCCTGCACGGAGCCAGGGAGCGCGGAGGCCCGCGACACCGAGGGAGCCCCTGGAGGGGCCGAAGGCGCCTGCCTGGCCGGTGCGTGGGCGCGGGCGCGGGTGGAGGGCCCCCTGCCCGCCGGAGAGCGGCTCCGCGGGAGGCCCCTGAGCGCGGCCGTGCGGCGGGGGTGCGGCCTCCGAGCGGAGGGCCCCGGTCTGCCCGGACCCGGCCGGCGCACCTGAGGGCGGGGGTCGCCCCCTGGCCGGCCGCAGCGAGGGACCCGGCGGGCGGCGGGAGGCGCGCGGGGAGGATGGCGTCCCACGACCTCCCGCGCGGGGCCGAGCCGCCGGGCTTCCCGCGCTTCCTCGCCCACGGCGTTGCTGTCAGTTTTTACAAATACCCTGTTCTGGTGATTGCTCGAAACGGGCCAACCCGGAGGTAGCCAGCGTGCCAGCCCAGGAGAGGTTCCCCCTGGTCCCCCTGCGCCCCGAGCTCGGGCCGGGAGCCGCCTCGCGCTCGGGCCGGGAGGAGGGCTGCGCGGGAACGGGCCGCGGCGTGTGCCCAGCTGTCCGCTGATGGAGATGGTCAGGACACTGCGCTGCGGTTTCCCGTGCCGGTCGGGCAAGCCGAAGTCCTGCCCGCACGATGAGAACGGCTCTCAGCAGCCCCGCTCACACTTCCAAGTGGAGCTCAGTGGAATGCTTGTTTATTCTGTTGCTGATAAATCCATGGGAAATCTCTGCTGAATCCAGCAATTTTAAAAAGCAAGTCCTAGCTTATAATTGCCCACATATGGGCAAACAGGTTATTTTCAGTAACTCAAGAGCTTTGCTGGGACCATTGTTTTAGGGGTGAAGATATTATAAGTATGCATCTGAGTTCAACTCTTGGACCCCCAGTTGAAGTGGAAAGTCATCATTAGGTATCTGATGAAAAAGATCATTGCCAGATAGTTACCAGGCAGTAAAATAACATGTTTTTGAAAAGATTGTAACTAGGAGCCCTTAGTTTGCTAGCTACTATGTAATTCTTCGTTGTTCCTTTAGGGATGAGAACCTACTCTGATCTCAACAGTGTTTTCATTTGTTGGCTGTTTATTATGTGGTTTTGCTGGGTCTCTTTTTTTCTTTTTGCTCTTGAAAATCTCCCTTCACATAGGTGAAATCACAGACTAGAATTTGGAGCATCTATTGCTCACTGGGGCTAAAATTAGAAAAGTCACGGAACTTTTCAGGCATATCCTTTTTGCTTCAAAGGAGATTCTGCAGTCTTTTCAAACTCCCAGTTGGCAGTTATTGTATGACGCTTAAGTACTCTTTAAAATAACATTTATTTGGATAACTTTTCTTTCTGAGGTGCCTAAAGGTGTGTACAAAACATTTACCATCCCTTCAAAGACTATGTATTTACCTCTTTGAACAGTTCCTTTTAAGAAAAATAAAAGTTCCAATGGCACTTGCAAAATACAAGACTGGGTCCTCTGATGTGCTGGCAGATGGCAGTCGCTTGAGCTTTGTTTATGCTCAGGACAAGCTCTCTTCTCTTAAATTAATCATGAATCGAATAATTGATTTCTCACACCTTGGGCTGCTCTTAATCTCCAGCCATAAGTTCAAAGCGTGGTTACTTTTGAGGTCTAGGTCACTTGGAAAGCCTTGCACAGCCTGTCAAACGATTGTGCAGCTGGGTCAAATCTAGTCGCTGTACACATCACGAAATGGAGTGACATCAGCCTTGAGCTCTCCTGGCTTTCGCATTTCCAACACTGGCTTCAGTGACCTTCCCATTTGTTGGGCAGCTCCAGAGATGGTGGGGCTGATGGATACAATAGGTTTCTGTAAATGTAATTAAACCTGTCTCTGCCAGCTGCCTGTGGTATTCGTGAATGTTTTTGTAAGAAAAGCTGCTCTTCGGCTTTATCTGCCCACTGTGGTTTGTGGCACATTATGCTATTCTGCAGCCACGGCAGTTTTTTCTGGAATGACTGAGCTGTGATGTCATGTGCTGTCTCAGCGCGGGTCCCTGTCCGGGCTTTGCTGGGGTCTGTGTGCCTGCGCCAGGGAGTGGACACTCCCTCTGTGTGCTTGGTAGCGACTCCCCGTCTGCTCCAGCACATTCCAGCGCTTGAGACCAAAGCCACCAAATGGTTTGTGGGCAGAGTGATTTGGGCTGGTTACAGATGATTTAAAAGGAAGGTTATGGGCATATGAAGTGTAGGGTAAAGAAAATATATTTTACTACTTTATTGAGACCACATGGCTCCAACTCGAACTGTTTTTTTCTTTTTTAACATGAAAATTGTTGGCTGAACTGGCTCACAGTGTTCCCCCTCCCCCACCCATCCTGGCGTTTTTCCTTTTTTATTGCTTAGAGCAAAAAGCTATATTCTCTATTTATTGTAGGCTTGGCCTCACCGTTATTTCTGAAAGTTTGAAGTATTTTTATGCTTAGGAAAACAGGGAAAAGTAGAATTTCTATGCTGTGCTCTTCAGTGGCCAGAGACCATTTTCAGAGACTCCAGCCTCTGCCCTCACCAAAAGGACACCCACGTCAATTGGGGGCTGGGGGGTAGTGGGCAGTAGTTATGAAAGAGGCAAGTGTCAGCCTAGCCCCTTGTACCGCAGGGTCACAGAATGTCAGTCAGTGCGGACGGTGTGTGCACTCCTCTTGAGTGGGAGAGATGATTTTGGCCAGCCTCCTAAAGACCCATCAGGCCCCGTGATTAATAATGGGGCCAAATGGAGCACAACCCATTTTCCCAGTGCACTAATATGATGACGGCTCAGAGCGTGGAGGGCCCCTCCCTTCAGAGGTTCCTGGAGCACACAGGCCTTCAGCCCCTGTGTCATTGTGAGACCACACTGTCACCTCCTGCCTCTGCTCGGTGGGCTACCCCAGCTCGCCATGATGAGCCACCTCCTGCCGCTGATCAGGCTCCCAAACCTCTGTCAGCATGAGCCTCACTGTGGCTCACTGCCGTCCCATTTCAGTCTTTGGGGTTTGTGCTGTAGCCTGATGGTCTGTCATGAGCTACCAAATAGCCATCTCCAACATCAGCTTGGTGTTATGAAACCCGTCAGAGAAGCTGAGGGGAAGGCTGGCTCGTGCATGTACCCAGTCCCTTGGACACTGCCAGTCCGAGGTCCGAGGGCTGTAGCCATTGATGTAATGGAGGGCTGCTTGCAAGACCCCAATGGCCCTCAGAGCTGCTGCTCTTTAATCCATCTGAGCCAGTCTGGATTCCCGCAGTTTGAGTCTATGCATATCTAGGGATTTAAAGGAAAGCATGTGGAGATCAAATCAGTGTGGAGGCTTATGAGAACTGGAAAAATGTCAAGAAGACAGCATTGTGTGATGGAAATTGAACTACACTGGAATCGAGGGTCCTCATTTTGCCACAGTGTGACCTTGAACAAGCTACTTAATGGTGCAGCATATTGATAAAGTAGTTTACTGCATTTTATCATGCCCTTCATAGCCCTGATGTCACATGGCCCTCAGAGTGACACGAGGCATCAGGTAGTGCGCTTTCCATTCTACAAGGACAGAAACTGAAGCTCTAGAGATTACTGACTTGCTCAAGGCCACATAGCATGTGACCGGTAGAGTTTGGCCTTAAATCCAAAACTTCTAACTTCAAACTCCATGTTCTTTCCGCTGTAGCAAACAGCCTCCACAACCCATAACCTCTGTGGACCTCACTCTCCTTATTTGCAAAAATGAGACATTTGGCTCCAAACAGAAGGGTCCATTCCAGCTCAGAATTCTATGTCTGATGAATCACTGCCTGGAAGAGGCTTTAAGAAATCACTTAGTCATATTCCTTGCTTCCAGAAGGACTCTATCTAAACTTTTCTGAAAAGAAAATGTCATTTTTTTTTTAAAACAATCCCTGACTAGGTAAGGGGCCAATAGTGCCTGAGAGCATTCCTGGGGGAGGGAAGGGGGGGTTGCCCTATCAGTGCCGCCCAGCAGGCGGTCCCCCGCCTACGCTCAGAAGCAGTGCGCCCTGCCTTGCTGAGTGAATGTCCAGTCTTGAGACCAGTGTCTAAAGTAGGAGAAGAGAGTCACTGGCCTGCCTTGCTGTTGGGAAGGGGAATTCTGTGAGGAGAGATCAGAGCGCTGGTTACTGTAAGGGGGAGAAAGAGTGACATGACTCAGGAGTGATCCTGAGGTTTATTAAGGACGCCTGGAGAGAGTGACGCCTGCAGAGGGCTGCTCTCTAGTTTGGAACCACCAAAGGGCAGAGGCATTTCTCTGAAGATGGTGCCCCTGCACCTGTGGTGGAGAATCTCACCATTTCTCCCCCATCATAGCACTGTTCTCTGCCCCAGTGCCACTCGCAGGCCCAAGTTAGAACTACGCTAGTGTTTCCATACTTGGTATGTGTCAGGCACATAATCATGTTTCATCCTCACAAAAATATTGTGAAGCAGATCTGGTATCCCCATTCATTGTCTGGAAATTATGTTCTAACAAGGCTAAGCATCTTGTCCAAGATCACATGGCTAATAAGTAGCAGAGGCAAAATGGAACCCAGGTCTGTCTCACTCTGAAGCCGATCTGCTTTCTCTTTCAGACATCTAGGTCTTTGAGGAATTGGGGCCTTCCTTACCTGTACACAGACCCTGCCCTCTGGGTTCACGTTGCTGTGGATCTCCGGGCAGGGCCTTGAGCGGCCCCTGAGCTCTGGAACCAGATCCTAGAGATTTGTCCTCAGCTAAGGCTTCACCTTCACCTGCTTGGCCCCACAGCTTTCTTTTCTTGTTCTTATTCCTTGGTGGCCTCTTGGCACGCTTTCTGCCCCGGGACACCCCTTCTCAGCAGACCCTGCATTCTCCCTCTGCCTTTCTCCCACAGCCAGAATGTTCCCCTTAAGGACATCGTTACTCTCCAGTCTGTGCCCCCCAACCCAAGACGTCAGCCCCTTGAGCCCAGACCAGGTGCCCAAGCCCTCAACACATTTCCTGTTCTCGTTTCATTGGAAGGAAAATTCCACGTGTTAAGTTCTGCCGCCATATTGCTCTCGATGTCACAGAATGTGAATTTTCAGAGTTGAGAAAGACCTTGGAGGTCATCTGGTCTGTTACCTTCATTTT